TAAGTCTTGGAATAATAATTATGGAATAAAATTAATTCCTAAAATCCTAATAAAATTAAATAATAATATATCCCACTAGAATATTATTACTGCTCTCCCTATTTGGCTCCAATTTAATCAATTAAATTAAACCTCCACTTGATTAATAAATATTAATCTGATTGACCGATTTACCTCCCCATGTTTAAGATATAACGTCCGTGGATTAATTAAATTACTGACAAGATAATTAATCGAATTCTTATTCATTTCTGAAATTAGTAGCACTCAGATCTTTAATCATTGTGTCGGATAAATATCCACCTGCAGGGTTTAACACAATATTCCTTCCTGAGCTCATTTCGGGGACATCATCAATCCAGCGCACTGGAACACGGTACCATAAATAATTTATAACAGCTCGTCATATAATCACTCTTATTTACCAAAGTACTGAGTATGTCATCCCAATAGAATAAGAATCACCCTTGGTAAATCAAATAAATAGGTAATGAATATACACGACTATTTTATATTATCTTATAGCTTTAGAGAATGCATCAATCCCTAAAGGTATAGATTACAATAACGATCAGTGAGTCTCATAATCTTATCCTTCCGGTGGTCCTGTTCAATACTTAACATAAGTACTAGTGTAATTCTCCAGTCAAGGTCAACTCAATCAAGAATACACTACAGTCTTTTTCCGAGTGGGGTCTCACTGCCAGTCTAGACTGTGAACAAATGATTTAGTCTTACAAGGAACTGATAGGTGACCTTTCTGTTCGAGACACCACGAACCACACTATCTCAATGTAAGACAAGGAGTATGATTGCATAAATAAATAAACTGCAAGCATATATACTTTGACTAAAACATGATTGCCAGATCAAAATGGTATTACTAATATCTGAAAGCCAAGCTTTTACAGCATATCTAACAATCTCCCACTTATGCTTAATAAGCTCATGGCTATCACTAACCACAATCTCTTTTAATCTAATTCTCAAAGTCTAGTCTAATATGTTGCTCTAATATCTGACTCCCATTCCTTCTACGTGTCTTGAAAAGACTTTCGTCGGTAGGCTCTTCGTCAAAGGATCTGCTAGGTTGTCCTCTGATTGTATCTTGGCAACAACAACTTCTCCTCGTCCAATGATTTCTCGTATCAGGTGGTACTTGCGCTCTATGTGTTCACTTGCTTTATGAGTTCGTGGCTCCTTCGAATTTGCCACTGCCCCGCTGTTATCACAGAACACTGTAATTGCAGCGGGCAAACTCGGCACCACGTCAAGGTGAAGGAGAAAATTCCTGAGCCAAACAGCTTCTTTCGCTGCCTCTGAGGCTGCTACATACTCAGCCTCCATGGTTGAGTCTGCCACGCATTTCTGCTTGACACTTCTCCATACAATGGCTCCTCCTCCTAAAGTAAACACAAACTCTGAGGTTGACTTGCTTTCGTCCCGGTCTGCCTGGAAGTCAGAATCGGTGTAACCTAACGGAAGCAACTCATCTGCCTGGTAAATCAACATGTACTCCTTAGTCCTTCTAAGGTACTTGAGTATATGCTTTACCGCAGACCAATGTTCCGGCCCTGGATTACTTTGATATCTCGCCACCATGCCTACTGCATAACAGATATCAGGTCATGTACACAACATCGCATACATGAGGCTTCCTACTACTGATGCATAAGGAACTGCCTTCATGTCCTCTATCTCTTGAGGAGTCTTCGGGGACATCTTCTTAGATAGAGCGATTTCATGTCGGAAAGGTAAATCCCCTTTCTTTGAATCATGCATGTTGAAACGCTTTAGGAGAGTGTCTATGTATGTAGATTGGGATAGGCACAATTTTCTCTTATCTCGGTCCCGAATGACCTTGATACCGAGAACATGTCCTACTTCTCCCAAATCTTTCATATCAAACTGCTTGGATAACCATACCTTTACGTTTGATAACATTTTCACACTGTTTCCAATGAGAAGAATGTCATCTACGTATAGCACTAAAAACACCACCACGTTTCCTTCACTTTTCTTGTACACACAATGCTCATTCGGACATTGGGTAAATCCATACGATTGGACAACCTCGTCAAAACGGATGTTCCAAGATCTCGAAGCCTGCTTTAGTCTATAAATAGACCTTTTCAGCTTACAGACCAGATGCTCTTGTCCCTTTGCAGTGAACCCTTCTGGTTGCTGCATATAGATGTCCTCGTCTAAATTCCCGTTAAGGAAAGCAGTCTTAACATCCATTTGTCAAATCTCATAATCCATATGAGCGGCTACTGCAAAGAGAATCCTGATGGATTTCAGCATAGCTACCGGCGAAAAAGTTTCCTCATAATCGATCCCTTCTTTCTGAGTATACCCTTTCGCAACAAGCCTAGCTTTGAAGGTTTCACCCTTCCCATCTGCTCCTCTCTTTCTCTTATAGACCCACTTGTATCCAATGGCATGCACACCACAGGGTGGTTCTACAAGATCCCAGACCTGATTGGAATCCATAGAATCCATCTCAGACTTCATCGCCTTTTACCAAGACTCTGCGTCCCGATCTTGCAGTGCCTCATTGTATGTCCATGGGTCGATTTCAAGAACGTCTGGGACTGCATCAGAAGACTCTCCCAGACCCATGAATCGTTCGGGCTGCCGGACAACCCTCCCACTACGACAATGTACTACCTGCTCAGGTGCATCATCAGCGATACGTGTTGCAGTACTATGTGGTGTAACATCTAGTGCACTCGGTATTGAAGTACTCACTCTCTTTACCTCCTCTAGGACATGTCTACTACTGGGCTTGTGATCTAACACACAGTCTTCTTCCAAGAACCTCGCATTCGTGCTAACGATTACTTTCTGGTCCTCAGGACTATAAAATAGACCACCTTTCGTTTCTTTTGGATATCCCATAAACAACCTTACTTCTGTTCTAGGTTCCAACTTATCACTATCGGTTCTCAGCACATGTGCTGGACTACCCCAAATCCTGAGATGTCTTAGACTAGGCTTCCGCCCATTCCACAACTCCCAAGGTGTAGATGGTACTGATTTAGAAGGTACTCTGTTCAGAACGTAAACTGCTGTTTCTAGGGCATATCCCCAAAACGAATCGGGTAACGTAGTATAACTCATCATCGCCCTAACCATTTCCATAAGAGTCCTATTCCTTCGTTCTGCCACGCCATTCTGCTGGGGTGTGCCTGGCGCAGTCAGTTGGGAAGTAATCCCATTATCCGTCAAATAGTCTCTAAATTCATTTGAGAGATATTCGCCACCACGGTCAGATCGTAATAACTTGATACTTTTTCCTAACTGCTTCTCCACAACCGCCTTATACTCTAAGAATTTTTCAAAGCATTCAGACTTGCGGTGCATAAGAAAAATGTACCCATATCTCGAGTAGTCATCGATAAATGTAACAAAGTACTCGAAACCTCCTCTCGCTTGAATAGACATAGGACCACATAGATCGGAATGAATTAGCCCTAACAGATCTTCGGCTCTATTCCCCTTTGATTTAAAAACCCTCTTAGTCATTTTGCCTTCCAGGCACGATTCACAAGTTGGAAAAGCCTCGACTTCTAACGACCCCAAGGGCCCGTCTGCTACTAACCTTTGAATCCTCCTCAGGTTTATATGACCAAGTCTTAGATGCCAAAGATATGTTTCATTCATTTTCGAAGGTTCCTTTCTCTTATTCGGTTTAGAAGATGAATTAAGTAATTGTTTATGTTGTAGTGGAGATGACTTTGGTTATAAAACATACAGATTGTCTACTAATGAACCAGAACGTATGAACTTTTTTCCAAAACGAATAACAACTTTATTATCGAAAATAGCAGAAAAACCATTCATAAATAACTTAGAAACTGAAATCAAATTCTTTCTAAGACTAGGAACATAAAGACAATCTTTTAAAATCAAAGTCTTATCTAAACCAAAATCTAAATAGACGTCTCCCACTGCAACTGCTGACGCTCTACTAGCATCGCCCAAGTAGATGGTAACTTCTCCTTCCCTAAGCCGTTTGGTTTCCTGGAACCCCTGCATGGAATTGCAGACATGATCAGTGGCTCCTGTATCTACACACCAGGTACTGGTAGATAACACCGCTAAACATGTTTCAACGACTAATGAAAAAGTTGTACCTTTATCGCCCTTCTTGAGGAGAGGGTAGTCGGCCTTCCAGTGTCCCTTCTGCTGGCACTTGTGGCACTTGCCTTTCGGCTTCTTTGCAGTTTGCTGAGGTCGCGCATCATTCATGACCGCTTTGCCCTTTCCTGCGAACTTCTTCCTCTTCCTACCTTTAGAAGGCCTGGAAGAAGAACCTTCAGCCGGCTGGGCAACCATCGCCTGGGCTTTGTGACGAAACAGGCCTTCTGCCGACTGAAGCTCAGCAACAAGTTCCGGAAGACTCATCAACATCTTATGCATATTGTAATTCAACTGGAATTGTTCGAAGCTCTTTGGCAAAGGCTGGAACACTATATCGACCTGGGTTTCCCCATCAATAAAAGCCCCAAGGACCTCCAGCTCATTCAACTGGGCCATCATAGCAACAAAATGTTCCCTTACGGGAGAGCCCTCACGCATGGTCATGTTCATCAAAACCCTCATGGCTTCTTGTCGGGCAGCCCGCGACTGATGACCAAATAACTCCTTGAGACTAAAAAGCATATCCGCTGCAGTGGCCATAGACTGATGCTGATGTTGAAGTACATTTGACAAGGATGCCAAGATGTAACACCTCGTCATCTCATCAGCCTTTTTCCACCGAGCATACGCCTCTTTCTCATTATCCCGCGCATTATCAGCAGGCACATCCGAACAAGCCTCAACAGTAGCAAATTTGTACCCTTCAGCAGTTAATACTATATCCAAGTTCCTTTTCCAGTCAATGTAATTGGGACCAACAATTTTGTTTTCTTTGAGAATTACGGATAACGGATTAAAAGACATTTTGAATTCCTGGGATCACATAAACATAGGTTTTACTTAGTCAAGTGATTTTAGAATTTAACATCAAATATTGATCCCTTAACAACAATATTCTAATAAATTCAACGGCACCTCTAAACATCGAATCCCCGCAGGCCACGGAGTGTGGACGTCTACGGTTCAAACCATCGCAAGAGGAGGGATTAATCCCATTAATTAACATACCGACAAATCAGTACTTAATTAATAGCCGTTTCATCTTTTGGCCAGCGCATAATAAAAACAACCTTTTCCTGTGGGAATATCATTTTAATTTGCACTTTAAGTGTAACCCATTAATTGGTACCAAGTTCACTACCAAATCATACGTTCATCTGTGGATGATCCGTACTCTTTTGTAATAGCTCGCTATTACCATCCTGAAAGAAATTTGTCCTTGTGAACTGTGAGATAAACCGTCCTGTGGGATCGATCTAAACCACTTCACTAACAAACCTATAATGGAGGCTTTGGATGTAATTATTTCAACCCATTACACACTTAATATAATTTTTATTTTAAGCGTTTTTCCTAGACATGCTCCTATTTCAATTTGCACATTAAGCAAATAAGGACATGCATAATTAATAAGCAATAATAAACTAGGAACTATAATCCAACTACTATGGCCATTAATTAATCTCCAATATTACGGAGAAACACAATTCTATCCTTGTTTGAATGTGTTTTCCATTTCAGGAATTGGAACATACCTTTCGCAGTGACTCCCACTCTTCATCTTGAATAGGCTATCTCCGGGAAAGTCGCCATTGGATCATCATCATGGCATTCGTCTGTGTGTTTGTCACCTCGCCCCGTCGAGTTTGGTCCACATCCGCCGGATCAACAATGGATAACAACAATTACATAATTCATCATATGACCCGCGCAGGAGTCGTACACGAGTTTTCTATGAAAGCAATAAACTATGCAGTGTTCCACTGTGCGAATAATTTATTACAAGGCATTCACCAACCCAAAAACCTCCTCGACATGTCCGAGGCTTATAAAAACACCATACACACATACATGAATTAAATCATACATACGGGCCATAATAGTCGGATTCGAAATCACCTGCAAATTGCAATTTCTAATCTACTATACCGCTGCGTCCGTACACACATAATTCATGTAAACAACCAAGTCCTAATTCCAACTGTGCACGAAGTTGAATTAAACCTAGGCTCTGATACCAGTTGTTGGGTTCTGTGAGGAACGTCAACAACATGCACAGTATTGAACTTATCGAAATAAATCCTAACGCAGCGGAATCTATAGTTAAGATTAGGACGTTACCTTTTAAAATTTCTGCCGACTCAGAGACGTTTCAAATTTCCTTTGATGGTGATCGTCTGATTACCACAAGTCAATCGTTGAAGAGTTTGGCCTTTGTCGACTCTAGTCGAGTGTTGAATCACGAACGGATCACGTCTCAAGTCGGGTCGGGTTGCAGCGGTTCGGGTTGCGGACAGATGCGCGTGCGTGTCAACTTTTCTATGCCTGAAAGGACTAGGTGTGCGGCGTCTGGGGTCACGCTGGTACGTTCTTGGGACGTCTCCTATATGCGCGAGGAGTCCTGATCAGGCGAGGAATAGCGGGTGCGTGCGGGTCGCGCGCTGCAGCTTTCCTATTCCTGTGAGGACTAGGCGAGCAGGGACTATGTCATGCCGATAGTATGCCGCACGTTTCCTGGGGCACGAGGAGTCCTGGTCGATCGAGGAGTCCTGGTTGAGCGAGGAGTGGTTTTCCGGCAGTGGTCGACGGCGGCGGATGGCGGCAGTCAGCTGAGGAAGGTGACCGAAAAATATGAAGGTTTGAGGTTTAATATAATCTCACCTTAAAGCCTTCTAATGGATTACCTAAACACTTACTTCAATTAATCTTGGTGATGCGATTAATTGAATCTCCCTCACTCTCGAACAAGACAATTTTTCTCTCTTTGAAAGATGGAAAAAACGAGTCTCACATGTGTTTCTCAAGAGGTTGGGACATGTGTATTTATAGGCTCCATTAGGGACCTTAAGGAGGTGGCAAATATGGGCTTATCCCATTAGGGCAAGGAATCCTAATTCTACTCCACAAGCTAATCCATATTAGGTCATGACTCCTTCTCCTAACATCACCTTCTAGAAGACTCTCTAGTCTCCTAATCCTAGGTAATATTCTAGAAGGAATATTCCCTAAGTCTTGGAATAATAATTATGGAATAAAATTAATTCCTAAAATCCTAATAAAATTAAATAATAATATATCCCACTAGAATATTATTATTGCTCTCCCCATTTGGCTCCAATTTAATCAATTAAATTAAACCTCCACTTGATTAATAAATATTAATCTGATTGACCGATTTACCTCCCCATGTTTAAGATATAACGTCCGTGGATTAATTAAACTACTGACAAGATAATTAATCGACTTCTTATTCATTTCTGAAATTAGTACCACTCAGATCTTTAATCATTGTGTCGGATAAATATCCACCTGCTGGGTTTAACACAATATTCCTTCCTGAGCTTATTTCGGGGACGTCATCAATCCAGCGCACTGGAATACGGTACCATAAATAATTTATAACAGCTCGTCATATAATTACTCTTATTTACCAAAGTACTGAGTATGTCATCCCAACAGAATAGGAATCACCCTTGGTAAATCAAATAAATAAGTAATGAATATACACGGCTATTTTATATTATCTTATAGCTTTAGAGAACGCATCAATCCCTAAAGGTATAGATTACAACAACGATCAGTGAGTCTCATAATCTTATCCTTCCGGTGGTCCTGGTCAATACTTAACATAAGTACTAGTGTAATTCTCCAGTCAAGGTCAACTGAATCAAGAATACACTACAGTCTTTTTTCGAGTGGGGTCTTACTGCCAGTCTAGACTGTGAACAAATGATTTAGTCTTACAAGGAATTGATAGGTGACCTTTCTGTTCGAGACACCACGAACCACACTATTTCAATGTAAGACAAGGAGTATGATTGCATAAATAAATAAACTGCAAGCATATATACTTTGACTAAAACATGATTGCCAGATCAAAATGGTATTACTAATATCTGAAAGCCAAGCTTTTACAGCATATCTAACACAATAGGTGTAGTAGTTATGTGCAATCGGGCTCTTTATATATACAATGTGATAGGTGTTTGTGAAACGTGTATTTGGTGCAACAGTCGCAGAACATTTGTGCAATATGTGTAGTTATTTGGTGCATCATGATACTGTTGGATCCATATGTTGTTGTATGACTTATTTTTGCATCCTATGAGTGACATTCTTGTATTTTTACATGTTTAACTGATTTGTTTTACNTTTTTTCAGGCATTTATGCAGGAATTCGCATCAAAGACACGTGTTCTTGCCATGGCCGGCATTGAAATTATACATTTGGTTGAGAATGCACCGCGAGACCTGTTGGGTGACGAGAATTTCACGAAAATGCAAAGAGCGGCACAGAAGCTGCTTGGGATTTGCAATGAAGATTCTAAAGGGAAGGGCAAACAACATGTGCCTGATGAACCTAGCCAGCACGCGACTCGTGATGATGAATCACCCTTTAAGTCCCCAACTCAGATTGTTGATGACGATTTTTGGAATGATCCCAAGAACATAGCTGCCATAGATGCGATCGTTGATGCTGTTGCACGTCGTGACCGTTTCAAACGGATGCACTGCGAGGGCCCCAGCTACAGCTTGGGATTGGTTCTTTCGTCTGATGAAGAGGAAGATGACATGGATATAGATCAGCGCCATACTACTCCTCCACACATGAGTGCTGGACATCAAGTAGACGAAGTCGCGGTCGGAGAGCCTTCCACTGTACCTGTACCTGTGCCTGTGCCATCAGGTATTTTGTTTGAGTTTATCATTTCACGTTTATAACTAAATCATCTAATTGTTGTTGTATATACGTGTTTAATGACTTATATTTTGTATTTTGTGTTTTATTTTTTTTTATATTTTTTTATTTTTTTTTGTCAAGCTGATTACGATGCGGTGGTTAATGAACCGGTCGGTTATACGGGTCATGATCGTGTGCAAGGTATGTACCGTATATATTGTATATATATGGGTCTTTATTGTACTGTCCGTTGTGAATGTTATTAAATTTTATTTTTTTACGTGTTGAATAGGTGCCGGTGGTGATACGATTGTTGATGTTGGTGTTGTTGACGTTGGAAGACCAAAAAGGAGTCCAAAGTTATCCAGCTTCCTTAAATCCCCTTTCAAACTGAGGTGTATTGATGTGGTTAAGAAACTCGACAAACAGGAAAATATGGTCATTAATTGGGTCCTGCACAAAGCTCAGGAGTAAGATATATGTTGTGCCATAGTGTTATCTTTTTTTTTTTAATCAACTTTATTGTCCAGTGTAATTATATATTCTGATTTTACTCTGTGCTGATAATATTTTATTCACAGTGATGTGATTATATATCAGTCTGTGTCCGGTGAGTATATTGTGAAGAGGGATGTGGTGGCATGCTTGGCCCCGAATATGCCAATCAACGAGACACTTATTGATCTGTGGGCTCGTATAATGAACTGCAATGAGAAGATCGGGAGACGTGGTTCAGTAGCGTGTTTCTTTGCAACCACGCGTCCGTGGAATGAGGTGCATCGTCATATATTTGGTGTATTAGAAGCATACTTATGATTTTGTTTCAGTAATGTTTACTATAAAATTTTGTGAATCACAGCTTTTTTTCAAGGGAAAGAGAAAGAAGGACGTAAGTTACAAGAAGTTTGTGGAGATGCTAGATGCAGATATCAATCGAATGTGTGTCTACAACCGGAAGAAAGTTTCAATGGTATCCCAATTTATTGCATTTCGGCTCTTGATCATGACGTGCAACATTACATTATCGTTTTTTTTTTCTTTCTTTGTTTGAATTACAGTATGTGTTCCCCGTACACTCTGGTGGCTTTAGTGGGTTGATTTGTATTTTGCCGGACACGTTGAAGATACATATCCTAGATAGTGCCTGCTTCTGTAAAGACGCCTCCATCAAGAAATCCGTCACGTCACATGCTAGGATTTTGGTAACAACTATCTCTACTTGTAGAAAGTTAACTTATTTTTTTATCACGTGATGCGGGTGTTTGTATTTGTCCGTTCTATTTTTTTTATTCATATATATATATATATATATATTATTGCTTTTTTTGTTGTTTTTTTGTTGTTTTTTTGTTGTTTTTATTTTGTTTTACATGTTCGCGTGTATATTTGTTGCAGCAACAATCACTTGCGAAGTACATGGCACAGATGAGTATGTCGAAATCGTCAAAGTCGGTCGCGCTCTCGATTCTGGACTTCATTGATTTTCCGTGGACTGAAGGTGTCGACGATGTAGATGCCGGCGTCCTAACAATGCGTCACATGGAGACATTCAAAGGACGTGTTCCGGAAGGCTGGAACCCGGATGTGAAGAAGGCCGAAAAGAGGCAGATCGACCTCATGAGGAAGCGTTACTGCTACGTCATTGCGTTTGCACCATACAACAAGGTGAAAGACGCTAACCTCGTTGAATCAAAGAGGTCTCCAAGGAAGAAAGGCGGTGTTGTATGATGTGTTGCATGGGTCGTTTGTTGTTTGGACCCGTTAGACGTATTGTTGCCATGTTTTGGTTTCTAGCACTAGGTTTTGGATGACTATTCTAGTAGTTTGTTATGATTTGTTTTCGTCGTTTTTGGTATGTTAGCACGACAATATATATTGTTTCTTTTATTTTATGGTGGCTGAATGATGCGATGCAGTTATAAAATATTATGTAGAACAGGTTTCCGATTCAAAGTTTGTGGATTATTGGAAATAGCTATTGACGTTAATTTGTGGAGTGGGTCGATAAAATGCGACATTACAGTCTGTAAAGTGCAACGGCATACTGTATATTGTGCAAGGTGACTGGATATAAAGTGCATTAGCGTGGCATATACACGAGAAATGCTTAAGTGCGACATTACATTTTGTAAAGTGCAACGGCGTGTTATATATCGTGCAATACGACTATATATAAAGTTCAGTAATGTATTATATACATAAGTAATGCTTGTATTGTCAGACGTTTGGTTGTTGCGATGTCGATTTGTTGCAATCTTAAATACGTATGTGTATTAGGCCGTTATAGCGAATTATTTTGTAATTGTGTAAATACACGGGTTCATACACTATACTCTTCTTTAAGATTCATATGGTGTCCACAACTGAAAAAAGTGCAACGCGATGTTCATGGAAGTGCAACGCAATGTTTAGAAAAGTGCAACGCATGATCTAAAAAAGTGTGATAAATTGTGTTCGCAGTCAATGTGCGCACCCAAAATACCACATAAATATCCCACTGGCATACATATTAATTATCATCCAATACCAATGAAAAAAAAAATGACGAGAGTAGCACTAAAATGACCGACGCAAAATTCACGACAATGATCAAGTGCTACATAGAGCAATATTCTCTAAACCAACAACCATACGTCTCTACCTTTTCCAAATAAAGAATAAAACGAAAATCCAAATAAAAAATAGCATTAAACCAAATGTCCAATCGTAGTATTTTGATCCGAGATGACTTCCATCAACTGCTTGTTGCATCACCTACTGCCTGTGTCTGCATGTATTATTATTATTATTATTATTATTTTTCTTATATATATATATATATATATACATGTTAATATTCATACATCACATCTAATACGCATTACGCTATTGTACGAATACACACACATTGTTAATAAATACATGCGAATATTGAGAAACGATATAGGATGTTGACATATGTATAGAGATGCACGTTGTAGAGAAATATATATGCATAATATATATGTTAGAGTATCAGATAACTATTTGTGCATTTACCTCGACGGCATTTGACGTGTACGCCTGTTGCTTCTTGGGACACGTACGTGCGTTATGGCCTGCTATTTCTCCACACGACTTGCACGTCCTTCGTTTCTTTTGCGAACCTTCAATTGCCTTCTCCTTCGCACTTTTCAGTCTCTTCCCACTGCCTTTGTTCTTGGATTGTGTCGGAGGGTGAATGTTCACCTCTTGAGGAGCAGCCATGCCGACAAACGATTCAAATTGGTGTTCTTTACCAATAATCAGTGTATCCCCTGATTGCGAACAGCATACACGATATTTTATAAAGTGCAACAACGTGTTTTATATTGTGCACTGTGACGATAAGTAAAGTTCAATAATATAGTGTATACATTGTAAATGCTTAGGAACAATTTACCAGTGATCGTTGCATCCCCTGTTTGAGCAGACATGAGCTTAGTCTTGTATGCTTCGACGATTTTGGAAAATTCAATGAGGCGATCGACACGAGGCTCAGCTAATCCAATGCATATATGTATATCTTACCACAATTTGTTCAACATGTGTTTTGTATCATCGGCCTGGGCGCACTGTGCAGCAACATCGTCAAGAACATAAAACATGGGATTACTAATCGCCTGCTTCGTCCATCTCGACCTGATATGTGCCGACAGAATGAGATTGAAGTTCTGGTCTTTGAGCACAAAAAACACGTGTCTACACAACCACCCGTACAACTCGAAGTGCTTGCACGAGCACGTAGACGTAGTCAGGACGACATCATGAGTAACAGTGAAGGTCTTATCATTTGGGTCTTTGAGTTTGAATTCCATAATTCCTTCACTTTCAGAGACGCTCGTTACACGATAATTGAAACAAGCTGCACATATCTCACCCTGTACACGGTAGAATAAGAATGTTGTGTAAACAGACCTAGGTGTCTTCAATTCAGCCATTTGTGACTCACTGTCGTTTTGTAGTTTGACCGACACGTTTCGTTGCGCGTCCATCACACTGTCGAAATGTCGTAAGAACTCGACTAAGCTGGAATGGCTACTCGTGAAATGTCCGAACCAATGGTTCTCGCTCTCGGACCTAGACGTTGTCCTCATCAAACCACTCATTTTGACATCCCTAAAAAAGGCTGGAATCCAAAATTCCCTTTTTGCAAACAGATCAATAAACCAATTGTGTGTTTCCAGCATATAATCTCTCATTATTGCTGCCCATTTAACTTCAAATTCATTAGGCTATATAGTTCGATCCCACACAATATCATTAATCCTTCGTTTGAATTCTACATCATTATTTAAAGAAGGACCAACCTTGTCACATAATTTAGTCATTATATGCCACATGCAAAATCGGTGTTTCGAAGTTTCGAATACACTAGGAAACGCAATGCCGATGGACGGGTCTTGGTCTGTGACAATGTACTCGGGCTCGTGGATCATGGCATCTTTGAAATTTTTCAATACCCAAACATAAGAGTCGATGTCCTCTTTCGATATCAAGGCAGCTGCAAATGTCACACACTTGCCGTGGTTATCTATGCCGGTAAAAGGTGCGAATACCATGTTGTACCTACACATTGATCAAGTTGATTTAGTACACAAGTGATAATTTTTATATTGTGCAACCAGGTAATCTATAAACTATGCAATTATTGTTAACATTTGTAAATATTATCGACCTGACAAAATATATCTGAAAATATATGTGAAATTTGTGCTAACCTGTTTGTGCGGTACGTCGCATCGAACGATACAACATCACCAAACGAACCGTAGTTCCTTCTCGAAATCGGATCAGCCCAAAAAAGCCGTTTCAAACAGTCGCTCTCGTCAAGCTCGTATTGGAAGTAGAAGGCTGAGCTTGCTTCCCGACGCTTATGGAATTTCTCGATAATCAATTGTGCATCAGCTCCTAAGATGTACGCAAGGAGTTCCCGCCTAATGTTCTTGAAATCCACGCTAGTGGCTCCGACGTTCGTGTACCCTCCAACCATCTCTTTGTACGCTTGGTACGACTTGACCGGCCCAATATTGGCCTTTATGCAATTCATTACGAACGACCGATGTCCTGCATCCATCGACCTATTGATCTTCATTTGTGACTTGCAAGCATCAGATGTCATTGAGTGGCTATATTTTTCCTCAAAGGTTTTAACGATGTATCCGTTCGATCCATCATATTGCACTCCAATCTTGGCAGTACATCCTACCCTGTTGGACACCCTACGTCTCGTCACATGACCTGTAGCATGTCTCGTAGAACTGATGACATCATGATGCTTATACCCCTCCCGGGAGCACACGAGGTATTTCCAAATAACCGTCTTGGTCTTGTCATGTGCTTTCACCAATGTGCTATGTCTCACGTCAAAACCAACACTAAGAGCATAAGTCTTGTAGAAGTTCACCGCTTTATGTAAATTCCGGAATCTTTGTCCTTGATATGGTTTAATCGATTCGTCACATTGTGGTATCCAATGTTTTGTCCCACCCGGTGTGATTAAAAGCTGCTGATGTGTAACCGGTGATTGCATTCCTTAAGCGTCATTTCAATGGGACAAAAAAAAAAAGGTTAGTAATAATAAAACAAGCCAACATGTTGCACTGATATGAACATACGATTGCACGCAATAGACTCGAACATTGCACTTTATAACAGAAAAGTAAGAATGTCCTCAATACCTGGTTGAGATTCATTCAAAGCCATTGTCTATGCTGCTCAAACAATAAAACACGTGAAATCCCTAAAAATAGCATGAAAAAACAAAGTACATCAGATTAGTTTTCCACTAAATATTATAGGAATATTACACAGCTTAATAATATAAACTACCAACACTCGATTCATACAATAATTGACCAATTGTTCGGTTTATATTTGGTGATCGTTATACCTGAGGTCGTTGAGTATGCAATATGATGACTCGCGTGGAAAATTTGGGCTCGCAGGTGGAAATTGGCCGGAATTCCTCCGCAATATCGAAAAATCGAGCTGGAATTGGTGGAAGAACGGCCGCGAATTTTCAAGTGCATTGATTTTTCGCCACTAATTCCATGTCGTCGAGTATGTAATATGGCGACTGGAATTTGGATGGAAAAATTGGAATCGCGGATGGAAAATTGGCCAGAATTCCCCGTAATATCGAATAACGGAGCACGAATTGGTGGAAGAACGGCCGAGAATTCTCAAGTGAGAAGATTTGTCGCCATTAATTCCATATCAATTGCTCAGCTGCGGGAAATTGAAATACAATGTTAGATGCGAGAATACAACGGTTTCACTTTCAGCTGGGAATTCCAATTAGGATGTTTATTTACGTTATTACCCTCCAATTGATTGGGCAGCTCAATTTCAGCGCTCATCCTGGGGCATCAGATAGCTTTGATCTTGTGTACATAATTCATTCTCATTTCTTTCATTAAGAGTCATTCTCACCGGAACCCAACCCTAAATATATATATATATATATATATATATATATATATATTATGTCATTTTGTTATTTATTGTTTATATATATATATATATATATTATAAATATATATTATATAAAATGTAAAATAAATTAAATTTATTTGTGTTGAATTACGGTTGTATTTTATTTATGCGGCAGGAAAGGATCTGATGATACCAAATTGCACGAGGGTATTGTTGCTGGTTTGAAACAGATGCTAGACCAAAATAATGAATTGGTAAAATCATTTCGTATGGCGAGAGACAGAATGCAGGAGCTCGGAGAGGCTAACGTTAGAGTTCATTTGATTGGACAGAGATATAATGATGCTAGACGGTATAACCTGCCAACCAGTTCTGAACTCACTGTGTTGGTTGTTGGTGATTTTGACCAAGCAATGGGTGAGAGAGACATATTGGCTGAAACCAAAAGCGGTCTTCTAAAGCGTATAAATGAGCTCAACGCTTCATATCTGGCACTACAATATCCTCTATTGTTTCCTTATGGTGAGGATGGTTACAGAGATCGTTGAAGGAAAAAAATCAAGTGAAGACGGACGACAACATGTGAGTGTCCGAGAGTATTTTGCTTTCAGAATGCATGATAGGGACCATGAACTGGCTACTATTGTTTCAGCAAGAAGACTGTACCAACAGTTTATTATTATGCTTATGTCGTGGTCGAATCATCGAGGCTGCGATATATTCAGTTCAATCAAAAAAAACTCCGTTGTGCATTTATAACGGTTTGGTGGATGCCATTCTTCGTGGCGACACGGACCCCAGTTCCCGAGGAAAGAGGGTTATCATTCCTTCTTCTTTCACGGGGCGTGCTTGGAATATGATTCAGAATTATCAAGATGCAATGGCTATTTGTAGATGGGCCGGTTATCCTGATTTGTTTATTGCTTTCACCTACAATCCAAAATGGCCGGGGATTGTTCGATTTCTTGAACCGAGAAAATTACGCCCATAGGATCGACCGAATATTGTTTGTAGGGTCTTTAGATCAAAACTCAAAGAAATGCTTAGGGATTTCCGTACGACGCAGATGTTTGGCAAGGTGATTGCAGGTGAGATATTATTTCTTAGCAATTATCTTATAATAATTTATTGTATCCAGATTGCTTAATTCGACCTTCACCAATCAATAACTTATTCGAGTATTAATGATTTTGATACATCCTTTCTTGGGCAGTCGTCTACACAATTGAGTTTCAAAAACGTGGATAGTCTCATGCTCATATACTTCTGTTTTTAGCTAAGGAGAACAAGTTCCCTAATCCTTCGGACATTGACAGAATCATATCAATTGAGATACCAGATGAATTATCTAATCCTTTGTATTATGAAGCAGTAAATGAGCACATAATTCACGGTCCATGTGGTTTGGTACGAAAAGGTTCGCCGTGTATGGTGGATGGTAAATGCAGCAAGCGTTTTCCAAAACAGTGTATCGAATCAACCACTGTTGATGATGAAGGTTATCCTCGGTACAGACGGCGTGATGATGGGAGGTCTATTAACAAAAATGATGTTGTTGTCCACAATGGATATGTCGTGCCTCATAACCGTGGTCTTTTGTATGAAGTTCGAAGCTCACATCAACGTGGAGTGGTGCAATCAATCACGATCAATAAAGTACCTCTTCAAATACGTGAACAAAGGCGACGGTCGTGTGACGACATCTTTTTATCAAACGTCAGCTGCACGGGAACCTTAAAAACCTTTGGATGAGATCGACATGTACTATGATTGCAGGTGCATTTCTTCATGTGAGGCTGCATGGCGTTTGTTGAGTTATGAGTTGCAATACAAAAAACCTCCTGTTCAGCGGTTGAGTTTCCATTTGAAAGGAAAGCATCAAGTTTTTTTTTTACGATGATGATAATCTTCAATATGTTCTCGACAAACCCTCTGTAGAGGATAGTCAATTTCTTGCGTGGTTCGAGGCCAACAAAATATATCTGACAGTAAGGGAACTAAATTATGTTGAGGCTCCGTCGAATTCGTTTGGAATAAAAAAAACCCGCGAGTGGACTCCTAGAAAAAATGAAGACCAACCATCTGTAGGTCGTCTGCAGTATGTACCTTCTGGGTGTGGAAATGATTTCTATTTGAGGTGTTTGTTAAATGTTGTTCGCGGTGCAACGTGTCATGAGGACTACATGAAGGTTGGAGAGGATCAGTATATTACATATCAAGATGCTTGCTATGAAAGGGGTTTGTTGGAGGATGATAGAGAGTACATAGACGGCATCACTGAAGCAAGTCAGTGGGCATCCGCAGACTCTCTAAGACGCATGTTCGCATCGTTACTGGTTTCTGGTTCGTTTGGTAGACCTGAGGAGGTATGGACAAGATGTTGACAATCTTTGTCGGACAACATTCTTTACAGACAGCGGCGACTGTTCAACAATGATTGTATTTTATTATATTAATGATATTATATTCTAAATATGATGTGCCTTGCATTTTGATATACAAATTTATATTCTTTTCAATTGTTGTGATGCTAAATTATCTTTTTTGAAAATTTAGGTTTGTTGCTTACAGAAGAGTAAATCCAGAATCTAGCCCTTGTTGAGATTGAGTATTTATTGCGACGGCGTGGAGCAAGTCTTAGTGATTATTCAACTATGTCCTTTCCTGATAGCGACAGTATGCAATCAAATTCAAATTGTTTAATTTTGGATGAGTTGAACTACGATCGAAAGGCTCTTGCTGTTGAACAAGCTATGCTTCTTGAAAAAATGACTGACAAACAAAAAGGAGTGTACTCAACAATTATGTTGTCCGTGGATTCCGGTCAAGGCGGTGTTTTTTTTTTTTTTT